CATGTTAACAATTTGGTCTCTAGTTCCTCTGCCCCTTCGGAATCCAGCTTGTACTTCTGGGAGTTCTCGGTCCACATACTGCTGAAGCCTACCTTGTAGGATTTTGAGCATAACCTTGCTGGCGTGTGAAATGAGTGCAATTGTACTGTAGTTGGAGCATTCTTTGGCACTGCCCTTCTTTAGGATTGGGATGTAGACTGACCTTTTCCAGTCCTCTGGCCACTGTTGAGTTTTCCAAACTTGCTGGCATATTGAATGTAGCACCTTAACAGCATCATCTTTTAAGATTTTAAATAGTTCAACTGGAGTGCCATCCCCTCCACTGGCCTTGTTGTTAGCCAGGCTTTCTAAGGCCCATTTGACTTCACTCCAGGATGTCTGGCTCAAGGTCAGCAACTACATTGTCTGGGTTGTCTGGGATATCCAAATCTTTCTGATATAATTCCTCTGTGTATTCTTGCCACCTCTTCTTGATGTCTTCTGCTTCTGTTAAGTTTCAGCTATGGCCAAATGCAGTAGCTAAAATAGTTAACATATAAAGATAGATGAAACGTGCTGAAGTAGATCCACTGGCTTTCTTTTTACTTCTGAGCCCAATCTGAGGTGCTAGTGCTTATCTTTACATCCCTAAATATTTGGAAGAGCACCCCATCTAGACAGCTTGTGTCAGAATCACCCGGTAAGGCCCTTCTTCAGGTATCCTGAGCACCAGAGAGAAGAAGAGAGCCTTGCCATTGCATCTCAGTTGTGTAGTACCTTCCCTGTGGAGACTCCCCTTGTGACAACATGGCCGTCTGTCAAGCAGGGGGTTGGACTTAAAGGCCTTATAGGCTCTCTCCAACTCAATTATTCTGTGATTTACCACCAACACGTTTTGCTTGCTTGCTTGCTTAGCATTTTAATCTGTCCTTTTTAGCTTTATTATTATGAGGATGTTTTTAAATAAAAAAAATATAAAGTATTGTATTAAAAACAGTAATTTTTGGATGCAATGTGTGATGGTACTGACTGTATTCATGTACAGCATCTTCGTATCCGGAAGGCTGAAAGACAGTTTCAAATGGTAAATAAATGAAATATTTAAATACGACAACATTAATGTTTTTCTAACTCTGTGATTTGAACTCTCCTTTTTTTCAAGGTGTACTATTGTCGTTCTCTAGCTATAGCATTTATTGAACACACTGTGTTGCAAAGGTACTTTGACTACGTTCACAGTTCCAACACACCAGCTAGTCTTCAACCAGTGCTGAAAGCGATTTGTTCATTGTATGGGCTATGGTCTTTAAGTAAGCACATGGTGGTACTCTACCAAGGTGAGATTGACATTCTTCCTGTACAGTAAAATGTATAATTGGTAAGCCTTTTTTGAAGACAGGTGGACATCATTGTAGTCCAGGGGTCCCCAACCTCCGGTCCATAGCCTGCTACTGGTCTGTGGCCTTTGCAGTACTGGACCATGGAGACATATCTCCTGTCCCCCCACACCCACATGCATGCCCATCCGCATGTGTGTGCGATCACACCCCACGAGCTCTCCACACCCATCCGTGCATGCACGCAAGTGCACTATACCCATCTGTGAATGCACCACACTCACCTGCACAAGTGCACCTCGCGAGCATGCTACGCTCACCCGCACATGCACACAAGCTCACCACACCCACCCGCAAGCAGGGGCTGCCCCCTACTCTCACATGGACCCCACCCCCGACTGGTCCATGGTTTAGAAAAGGTTGGGGACCACTAATGTAGTCCTCTCAGTACCAACACACCCGCATGCACCCTCAATTTGTTTGACTGAAAATCTCATTGTGATCTGGGGGATAACTTCTGGAATCCAGAGATTGCATATTCTTGCCCACCCCAGCTTTACAAGAACTTTTAAAAACTTTTACAGATTTATGCTCCATAAAGATTAAGCAGTGCCACCCATCCTATTCTCTATACCAGTCGTTCCCAATCTTTGGTAACCCAGGTGTTCTTGGACTGCAAGTTTCAGAAGCCTTCACTACCAGCTGTGCTGCCTGGGGTTTCTGGGAGTTGCAATCCAAGATCACCTAGGTCAGTGGTTCTTAACCTTTGTTACTCGGATGCTTTTGAACTGCAACTCAAGGAAACCCCAGTCAGGAGAGCTGGTGGTGAAGGCTTCTGGGAGTTGCAGTCCAAAACTCCTGAGTAACCCAAGGTTAAGAACCAGTGACCTAGGTTACCCAAGGTTGGGAACCACTGCTCTACATGATATAAATAATAACTTCTTCATCTTTACCATTTTGTCCTTAATGCACAAGAAAGTTTGTCTCCAACAGTGCAGTTCTACTTGTGTCTGACCCAGAATCAATGAGACTCACTCCCATGTTAATTGCAAAAAAGGTAGCAATCTGAAATATCTGAGCTCTAAGCTACTTCTGACTTTCAATAATCAATACCTTTAATTTAATCCAGAAACTAATTTTGCATATATTTAACAAACATATAGAGTAAAACTGTGCTCTTTAGCTTCATTATCGCTCTGAATGTCTTCCAGGTGGCTACATTTCAGGAGACAATGCTGGTAGACTTGTACAAGATTCAATTCTAGAACTCTGTTCAAAGGTACGTTCTGAAGTTAAACATGATGCTAAGAAACTTGCCGCAACATCTTTATAAGGAAATGTTCTGGTGTGGTCAACTTGACTCTGTTTAGAGTATTTCTGCAGCTCAGAACATAGTTCTCATTCCTTCATTGCAAACAGTAGGGTTGGGTAGAGAGGGTTGCCTGTGCTGTCTGTCCCACTTTCGGAAATCTTGGGACCACAGCCAGTTTCGTCCTGTTGAAAGGCAGTAGGCTGTTGACCTGATGAAGACTTAAGAGGTGTGGGGGCTGTATATGTGTGTCTGGGGCCAACAAATGGAAGAACAATATTGCAGCTCAGAAATGTCCAGGCACCTATTTTATTTTGTATAGCATGATATAAAGTATGACACCCATGTATTTCTAATGAAGTGCCACTTCATCCTGAAGTCCTTAACATGCAATAATACTATTGCAATAATTTTTTTAAGGTTTTAGACTTCACAAATATGTTCCTATCTACAGAGAAACTGGTGCAAAAGGAAAAGAGCCACTCTAAATGCTTGTCTCTGAAATATTAGTAATGCATTAGTTTAATTACATGCAAAGTAGTTTTTAAAATATATATTGGAGTATTTGAAATAATGACATGGTCACCAATGGAACAGTGTCACATTTTATCATCTGGTTCCATTTTGTGTGTAAAATTGTTTTTAGGGACATGAAAATATGTTCTGATTTATGGACTTAAGATGATATGTTCATACTCTACACTAAGAGCATTGCTATGAGCACGTACTTCCATTTTCATGAGACTATGAAGACACTAAAAAGACACAGATTTTAAAATATTCCTACAGTTCTGAAACCCTCATATATTATTGCACATTTAGTACCGGATCCAGATTAGTCAGAATGGCATTCCTACATGTGAACATCTTGGGCAGATTGTTGTGTTGAAATTATCTTAGTTCTCTGGTTTGGACATTTTGTTGTTTGCAGTGTAAATGAACATCTTAAAGATGCTTGAAGAAATGTTTTAGTGCTGTCCTTGAGTGGGTTGTCAATCTAACTGTCTGAGTTTGGATTCAGTCCAGCTTCTAATATGAATAGTGATCTAACATGCATCTTTCAGAGCAGAAAAGAAATTGCAGAATCTTTAGAAGAGAGAAACAGCACTAGAAATGTTCTCATTCTTTGTTTTTCCCCCATTTATGTCCAGCTTTTCATCTAAAGTGTATGCAAAGGAGAGGTACAATAATAAGTTCAGTAGTCATATATATACTTACGCAAAAAAATTGTGTAATCAAAGAGTAACGAAAGGATGAAACTGGCCTAGAAATGAGTAAAGATGCAGAAGACTGGTCATCAAGCATGTGCCTTAATAAAATCATTTTCAAAGATCTTCTAAGAGTTGCAAAGGAGAGAGTGGTTGTCGGTTCCTCTGTTGGTCGGCATCCAAAATGTGTAGCTCCAAGAAATGCATTTTCCCTGTCTTGTTTCCAGCAGTTTCAGTTTTTAACTATCTTTAAAGAAAAGCTCCACATACCCTGTCTCACTGAAAATAAGAGCTAACCTGAAAATAAGCCCTAGTATGATTTTTCAGGATGCTTGTAATATAAGCCCTACGCCAAAAATAAGCCCCAGTTAAGTGAAACCCCGCCTTCCACCATTGTGCAGCAACCAGAAGATGACATGACTGCATTTGAATAAATGTAGATCATTGTACATGAAAAAAATAACACATCCCCTGAAAATAAGCCCTAATGTGTTTTTTGGAGCAAAAATTCATATAAGATCCTGTCTTATTTTCCGGGAAACACGGTAGATAGTGTTAAAATAGTTTAGTATGGATACAACATGAGTATAAAAATCTAAGTCTTCTTTTCTCCAAGTAAACCCACACCGAAGAACCGAATGAAGCAGATAAAACTCACATCTAATTGCCAATATCACCTGAATAACAACTGAGTAAGAAGAGGGTGAATCAAAGGAGAGTTCAGTTTATTTAGTACAGCTGAAAACTGAAAGATCTACAATGAAAAACCTTGTGCAGATCAGATTTTAACATTCTGCCCTTACTCTTCTGAGTCGTCAGTCTGTCAGTGCTGCTTCCCTTCTCAACAGCTTTGTATTTCTCTTTCACATTCCCCTTGGATTCTCCTTCACGCAACTTGCTGCCTCTTGTCGTCTTTCAGTCCTTTTTGTGTTAGATGGCTTCGTTGTGCCTTTACCTGCCCTCTACATGTCCAACTTCTGCCCAACTCCCAGACCTATGTTCAGTTAAGCTCCATTGCCCTTCTGTCTGCACCCTAAGTAAACACCTTCTTCCTAGCCAAATTGACTTCTGACTTTCACTGAAGCTACACTGCTCATCAGCATTCTTTTGTTCACAGTTGAAAACCTTTGATATTGTTAAGATGCTCAGTGAATTACCAAGGCCTGGGGTGCTAATTGCCTGAAAGAAAGCCAGTTTTACCCTATCCAGATTTTGAATGCATGATGGCTATGTGGGCTTCATGTGAAATTGTGATAAATTTGATATTTTATATCACTTGTCCTGAAATAAAAACAAAATTTCATATGGTCATTGAGCTTCCCAAATTAGAAACCTGAACTCCTTGTTTGTCACTAGATGATTTTCTCATAACATTCGTGCTACTGCTGTGTAGTACAAAGGGTTGATACAATGGTTGCTTTGTATTCATTTCTTTGCACAGCTAAAGCAAGAGGCTGTGGCTTTGGTGGATGTTATTGCTCCTCCTGACTTCATTCTCAACTCACCAATTGGCAGGGCTGATGGAGAGGTAAAGCACTTTTTTTGGCAAAACTCTGTTATATGTTTACTATTTCCTTTTTGAATGCTATGTTTCAAGCATTATATGTCACAGCTAGCTACTCTGGGATGGCAGAAGAATTGCATTCTAGCAGCAGTCCAAGTGTAAATGTATTTTTTCTTGTTCTGTTGGTGGGAATAATTCCAGTTACTTCCGATTGGCAGTGTGTATGGCTGTTTCTGATTAGATCAGATTGGAGAAGACAACTAGAAACTTGATTTTTAGAGATCTTGTCTCAAATTTGCACCAATCGTTAATAAATAGAATTATCTTGTTTAAACAGTAAATGGAAGCACTTCAGCTGTAGGCAAAGGTTACAGATGAAAGCAACGTACAGATGAGTTCAAAGAATATCAGACTCTTAAAGGGTTTCTTCCTGCACTTCTAATGCAACTTGGCTATTGTAATGTCCTTTTGAAGAGAATGCATGCCTACGTATTTGCTCTCACCCACTTTGGTCACATTGTAAACAGAGACAAGGTTTGCACAAGTAATGTCACCATTTTATTTTTTAATAAGTTTTTAATTTTTGTTTTTTCGAGGAAAGAAAGAAAGGTAAGCATAAGAAGCCCCAAAATGCAAGTGTGTGTGAGAGCACACAAAAGCTTGTACTTGGAATTTGATTGGCATTTTAGCCTCTTGCATGACCAGTTGCACCAGCCAGACCTATGTCTTTGATGTGTATGGTTATCCTAAAAAGAGGACAGGCTGGCTGGATAGCTCAGTGGTTTAGGTATTGGCTGTGGAACCAAGGATTGAGCATTCACTTCCCCACTGTGCCCCCTGCGAGTAAAGCCAGCCTGTCTGGTCTTGGGCAAGTTGAACGGTCCCAAGGTGATCCTAAAAGAAAGGAATGGTAAACTATTTCTGAATATTTGCTACCTGAAACCCCCCCCCCCAAAAAAAGTATTGCCATAAGTCAAAATTGACTTTGACAGCACATGGTTATTGTTATTAGAAAGAGGGAAAAAAGAGACTCCTAGTTTTTAGGGTTAAAGATAGGCTCTGAGTCTGAAAATGCTGAAAACTATTGTCCTGAGACCATTTTTGTTAATTCTCTTTTGTTGATTTTCCCCCCAGCTGTATAAAAATCTGTGGAGCTCTGTTCTTCAAGGGGAGAAGGTGTTGGAGAGGCCATCCTGGTGGTCAGAATTCTGTAATAATAAACCTGTGGTAGGTCGACTGAGGTCAAGAATGTAGATAGGAGAGTATTTTGGAATAGTCTAGGAAGGCCCTGGATAGTTAATCCTAATCTTCCTTTATGAGATAAACAATCATGTTAGGTAAATGTAATTTTGTGAAGGAAATGCTAACAAACACAAGGCTTTCAATAGCATTTAAGCCAATTTTCAAGAATGTTAGCACAATCAAGGACAGTGCAGTCCACAATTACCTTGTATCATAGAGTCAGGACATATACAAATGAAGTCAAATTAAATGGGAAATTCCTTAAAGCTTGAAATGGTAGTTAGAATTCTGGGTCAATTAAAGATAAGCTATTTAGTTTTTGCAACAGTTACTCCAAATCTGAAATAATGTACAACAAACTGAAAGAAAATTATTTTGGTACAAAGTCAATTGGATATTCTGTTGATTTAAACTTAAATGGTTGTGCCTGGCTCAAATGAAGTCACTGCAGATTCCTGTTAAAATGCTGGACAAATATATCTGGGTTACTGTTAATATAATTCTACTATTCTTCCAGTATATAGCAGGTGAGACGTTTCTGACTTTGTTGTATTTTTTAAAAATCTCTGATGCAAATATTATCTAATTTATATTTTAATTTATATTAATGAATGTGCTTTTTAGAACTGTTTTTAGAAGCAGATGCCTAAGGTGGCTGATTTCAGCCCTTTATCTTAATATATCTTAAATGTGAAGATAGTAATATATGTTTGTTCATGTGTTAGGCATATTTGGGAAATGTGTTTACTGACATACATGATGGAATAAATATTGATACTGATTCGAAAAAGGTTCATTTTAAGTATAGTTTTTAAAATCTGTAAAATGCTTATATGTATAATTAACTTAGCATGACATTGTTTCTTTTCTGTAAGAAGGTGAGATAAAAATATTAGAAGGCAGCACCTAGCCTACATGCAAGAAGGAACCTCTCTTCTTGGCCTTTGTGTGAAGAAAGCAATGGGTGGAAGAGGGCATAGATCTTCTATGCATGTTCAGCAAACCAAGTAATTTAAATAGGGTTTAGGACTTCTCTGACTTAATTTCTCATTCCCCTGTCCAAAGTATTCTTGGTGGATCAACAGGAGATGTCAGGAGTGCAGTCAGTGGCAGTGAGCAAATTATAGGCTAGATCTGTAACATCCATTAAAAAATTAGAATGGCTAATTTTTATGTGAATTGTGGACCAAAATAAAAGGCATTCAGGCATCCTACATATTTTCTTTGTTGTCATTTATATATAAAAACATCCTTAAGTAAAAGAAAATGACTGCTAAGGAGTTTGATGCAATTATGTGCCTGTGTGTGCATAAAGTGGAGTATCAGTCCTGAGTGTTTGTTTTAACATAGAGCCAAGGCTTTTGTGCGTTATTGGCCAATGATAGTGCCAATGCACATGTATAGCATATGTTTCCACCATACCCAATTACGGCAACCAGTCAACACACTGGATGTTCTTCAGTATCATAAAATGACTACCTGAAGCTATGCACTGTCTCTGATATTTGAAATAATTGTTCTGAAAACAGCAATGAGTCTTTACTCCTCTCTTTGTAGTGAGTATGTACTTTAACACAATTAGGGGGATGATGCTGAAATCACTGAATGGTTTCTGCCTTATTTAGAAGCCCTTTCCAATGCTAATCAAAACAGTAACAGGACTTTCTGCCCTCCAGGCCTCCAACAGTGAAGGCTTCATCACATCTGCCAAGAACTACAGTCATACAGTTTTGGCCATTATTTGGTTCGTTTCAAAAATTTCCATTTATGTGACACACGGCTAACATTGATTCATTTTCCCTTTTCCTGGAGGGTGGTTTTCAATTGTACTGATGATGTTTCGCTTCATTCCTTACAGTCTCAGTGTGTGTGAATGTTGCTCTCAATTTATTTCCTTTGTGAAGGGTTCAGGTGTTGGGACAACGTGATCATTCATGGTGTCACGTTCCCACCTGTCCCTTGATTGATTCTAAGGAAAGACACAAGCTACCTGTTGTTCAGCTGCCACCAGTTGATTACATCAACTTTATTCACTATTAAAGATAGAGGTCTGGGCAGGGTATCATTTAAGAACCAAGTAGAAATTGTTTATCGTTACAAGTGATAAAAGTCCAGTCAATGTCATTAACTTTCAACTAAAAGAACCTTCTTCCTCCGCTCTCAACCAGCTACTCTCTCTCTCTCATCTGTTCTTCACCCCCCACTTAACTCTGCCCCCACCATGAGGCAGGGTGAACACTACACATGGCCACTGCGATGTCCGCTTTTTTAAAAAAAATTATAGGGATGTTAAATCACTATGAGCAGCTGCTTCCACAGACATTGGTCAAAAGGAGACAACCTTCCTCCCTTCCTTGCAGGTGAAGGAGGGCTTGAGCCAAGAAAAGGACATTTCCTACTTTGAGTTGTAAAGAAAGGGGTGTTGTATGAATGTCTCCTCTCTCTTTTCTTAACCCTGCTGTCCACAATACATTGCAAGTCTTTTAAAATCCACTTCCCCTCTCGATGCTGTGCAGAAGGGAAAAGAAAAATGAAAGCCAAGAATTAAGAGGGAGAGATACGTAGGGAAATAAGGAAATGGATACGAGTGAGTAAAGGAGGGAAGGGAAAAGGAGAGGAGGAAAGAAGGTTCATATTGCTCTATTGATATATCACCTTTGGTAATTTTTAAAAAAGGACAAGGAGGGGCCTGATTACCCCAGGAAACAGTAGAGAAAATGAATCAATACAAAATCAAAGAGCAGTGTAGCCTGTTATAACGGTTCAAATAGAAGGAAATGTATCAACACAGTTCTAAACAGTGTAAATGCTCCCACCAATATATATACCACTTGGCTGCTGAAAAAAATGTATCCATATAAGAGAGGGATGAAAAGAGTCGGTATAACTGGGGTTCTTATGTGTTAAGTTCTCAGGACTTTTATCATAGTCAAAGGACTTTATTTTTATTTTGTTACACTTTATTGCATTGCCTTTCACCCAGGATTAACACTCAAGGCAGCTCACAGCAGCATTAAAATGCCTATAGATGTTTAAAAGATAAAAGTAGGTATAGATAAAAACTGATAAAAACATATAATGCTAAAACACAGAACAAATTATAGTATTAAAATGCCACTGAGGATAAAGTAGTTTAAAGCCACATTTTGAAATGTGGTTAGCTATGCTAGCATGCCAATAGTGAGGCATCTTGGACGCTGAAGCCAGAAACTTGTGGAGGATGCCAGGTTATGCAAAGCTGCTATATCATACTCATTTGCCTTACATTTTAGTTTTGGGAAGAAGCAAACTAGATTTACAAGAGTTCACAAAGGTGCTACCAGAACTATGACTACTTGTGGCTCTTGTAGTTAGGCTAGTATCAGTAGGGTGAGTATTCAGTGTACTGTGGTGGACAGAGTGACAGACTAGGACTCAGGAGACCTGGGTTCACATCCCTGATTAACCATGGAAACTCATTGTGTGGGGGAGTGGGAAGGATGGCACTGTGGGGAAACAATGCCTTAAATATCTCACTTAATTTGAAATTGTGGTTGGTTGGTTCTGACTTGAAGACATTCAACACTCATACATCTGTATAAACTGACCTCCCATCAGCCCCAAATTGGCATAGCCGATTATTAGAAATTATGGAAACTGCAATCCAGGACTACACATGGCTTTACCCAGCAGCTCTATTGAGCTTTAGGGAGTTCTTATGGATCTATACTGGCAAAATCTGGCAGGTTGGCAGGGTGGTTTTATTTCAGAGACAAGGCAGGATTGCATCTTCGCTTGTTTGCTTCCTTCCTTGCTCGCTTTTTGCACTGGGTGGCCAAAGCGACTATCCTTTCGCATGCAGATTTGAAACTGGGAGGGCTCTTTCCCAAAGAAAGATGGGCTTTGAAAAAAAGAGGTGCCAATGAGCACCGAGGGCAAAAGGACAGGAAAAAGGCTGGAGTGATCCTGTCCCACACGCGGAAGTCCTCTCAACACCAAAGGTGGGGGTTCACCATAGGTAAGGCTGGTAGACAAGGGCTCTGCTTCCCCCCCCCCCGCCACCGCCCTTGCCTACCTGTCTCCTCCTTTGTCTGCAAGAAGCCGGGACATGGAGCTACGTCTCAAACTGCGGTCCCTGCAGTCATGGTTCCTCACACTTTTCAATCCCATGAGAGACAGCCAGAGAAACGCCTCCGTGTGACTCCAGAGCTTGTAAGGCAACTATAATGGTGGGATTGTCCCCCACACTTGCAGATAGGCAGGCCGTTCCCTGGATCAACAGGGTCTTTGTGAAGTTTATTCCTAATTTTATCCCAGTCTGAAAGCTTAAAGCTCCCGCTTCTGGGTACCAAGAATAAAACGTACCCCTTCAGTAAATCCTCTACTGAATCAGATGTATCACAGTGACCTTCTCTATGAAGCAAATACATTGTGTCTTATGTTGTTTTTGAAACAGTGTAAGAGCATTTCCCATTTTTAATTAATAATGCTGGGATCTAAAGAGGATGTGAGGATGGGTCTGGAGCCCTTGCTGGGTGAGGTGAGCTGCTTTGATTGCCTCAGGCGATGTCCCTTTTCGGGCGCCAAATGTGGGTGATCATAGAAGACAGGAAGGCTAATTGCCTTAGAACAAAGGAGTTGACAGCATGGATGTCCGAACCAGTGGAGCTTACAGGCAATGCCCTGAGAGCTCTTTTATTTACTTAGCATGATTACATAGTATGTTGTTAGAATTCAGATAGGATACTGGTTACCTAATCCTAACTAGGATTGGTTGAAATAGCTCTTTGATCTTATGCTCTACCTCTAAGTGAAAGGGCAGAATAAGGGGTTACTTCGCCTGCTGGCAGCTGCCACTTCCTGCCAGGAGTGTATGCACATCACTGGAACAGAATGCAGCTACAACCTTTAAGCAGAAGTTTCCCAAAGGAGTGATGTCATCGGCTGTGGGTGATTGCCACTAATGAAAGTTTTCAAATTTCAGGACACTCATGACTTGCATGCAATGATATAAAGTCATGCACACACAACATTGGAGAAGTAACGCCTTAATTAGTGACAATTTGCTGGTGCTGCTAGTTACATCATTTCTGTTGTTCAGGTAGAACTATGAAACAGGCCTATGTTTCATAACAGAAATATAAAGGAATTAAAGTCAGCAGCAGCCAGTACAGTGATTATCCAAGCAATGTAAATAAAACAACTCATGTAAGCTGGCTAAATATGAACTATTTGCAATACCTATATATTCTTACAATACCATATCAGTCATTACAGAGTCCATTCAGGTCCAACAATTAAATCCATTGGGAAGCCGAGAGATCTTGCTCAAGTATGTGTAGCTCATGCTGTGGAAGACTCAGATCAGAATTTTAAGTCCCACATGGTTTTTATACCAGAATTTCCTTGGGAAAAATCTTCAGTTCTTTAGTTGGTACTTTAAGAGGTCCCAGCTAACTGCATGAAAACCAGCTTTCACTTTCTTTCTCAAAGCCAGAACTATAATCCTTATTGGAAAAAGATTATTTACATAATCTGTGTGGATTTATAAATAATATTTAGCCAGTTTACACAGGTTGCTTTATTTGGGTTACTTAGGTGAACTCTGTGTTCCTTAAGTTTTAGTGAACAGCAAGTGATTATCAGCAAATTAACTGTACATATGAGTTTTGAGTCATTCATTCTGAACAAAATTGAGATTTAGCAGGGAGAGAAATGTCTATAGTGTAACCCTAATGCAACTAAGACACAAACACAAATAAGATTCCACATGCAAGTAAAAAGTAGTACAAATATATTTCTTTGAAAATTACATCTGTTGGCACCAAGGGCTTTGCTATTCAGTAGAAGCATTTTAAAATTTATTATTTAACCTTAAAGCTAGTTGACTAAAAACAATGTCTTCTAAAAGGAAAATTTGTGTCATGTTTAGACATGAATGTATGGGGATATTGGTGCAAAAGATAGTGGATAGTGTCTCAGAATTGCAGCTGTTACAAAAATGTTGCAATCTTGAATTCTTTTGGACTGCATCATCCATGGTTGGAAAGAGGAGAGAAAAGTACCAGGTGCACAGAGGAACATTTTACTGATATGTTTCAACTTGAATTCTTTTCCAGGGAAACTATTAGCCACAACCAGTTCCAGTCTTTGGTCACTAAACATTATTTGTGAAATGAAATGTCTTGTGCCTAGTAAGCGCATCTCTGTATTCAGAGATTTCCTCCTTTCTGTT